TATTTAAATAATATTAATAATATTAATAATAATTAATAAATAATAATTTCCAGATCAGGCACAAAAAGCACATGGTGTTTTTAAACCAGTTCTGCTGCCAAAGTGGTATTAAGAGAGTTCTGCCCAAATTTCTAGCAGGCTGCTGTCCTAATGGGCTGACTGGACAGCTGCAGTCACTGGAAGGTGTTTCTGCCAACATTTCACAGAGCCATGTGTCGTGGTTTAGGCTAAACTCGTCACAGCCGCCCTCTTACCTTCCCCCACCCCCCAGGGATGAGGAAGAAAATTAAAGAAGAAAAAGAAAAGGGACCCGTGGGTTGGGATAAGAACAATTCACTACTACCGCTACCAATATATATATATGGATGGATACGTACAAGGATAAATGTATACAAACGAGTGATGTACGGTACAATTGCTCACCAGCCCTCGACTGAGGCCTATCTTGTCCCGAACTAATGATCCTGAAACAGATGAATCCCGATACCACAATCCCGGATGAGCGAGAGGCCCGAAAATACAGAGCAAGACAGAGAGAGCACTCTGAGAGTCCGAGAGTGAGAGTCCCGGAAGAGCAAAGGCCCATCTTTCCAGCTGTCCTTCATTTTATACTGGGCATGACGTTGCATGATATGGAATACTAATTGGCTCATTTGGCCCTCAATCCTAAATCTAAGTACAAATCGTAAGGAGAGTTGTGGACCCCCTGTCCCGGCTATGTTGCCCCCTTATCCTGTTGTACTCCTGCACACTGGCAAGAACACAGCAGCTGAAAAGTCCTTGAGACCTCAGTGCCAACATAAACATCAGTGCGCTGCCAACGTTCTTCTCAGAACAAGTCTCAGACTAAAATCAAAACATGGAGCTCTTCTAGCTGCTAAAAAGAAGAGCTAACTCTGTCCCAGCTGAAACCAGGACACCATGGAGAGTAGAAATGGAGCTAGGAAGTTCTGGAAGTCTGAGCTCATATTTCAGGGAGAGGGGGAAGGTGACTTCCTTTCCCTTCTTTCGTTCCCACAAGCAGAAAAATTGTGCTAATAGTAGGAAACTGGGAATGGTTATCAGAAATTTTGAGGAAGATGCATGACTGGTGTATCAGATGCCTGAAATTCTTCCACCCAGACCAAGGTGACTTTTTTTATTCTTAGAGGGACAAAGGGAGAAGTGAGAGGAGTCACTCATGTATGAAGACGAAGTCAGCAAAAAATTGGAGACTCAGTGGTCAGGCTTGAACACCTATGGCAAGAATTAATATTTAACTTTACTTCAGTGTTCCCACAGTGCTCCTGTGGTTAGAGAAAGTGCCATTGAGATGAGAAAAGCATTTGATCTTTAAAGAGAGTTTGACATCTTTTAATCTTTAATCCTCATCAGACCTCATTAGTTATTTGATCAACTAGGAAACTGAGTTGCACCAAAAAAATCTGGAAAAGAATGCATTGTTAAAAATTATTAAGGGCTGCTAAACCAGACATGCCTTACTAAGGAAAGCAAACCTTTTGGAAGTTTGTAGAGGGTACATTGTTTGTTATAAACTGGCTATTGACTCACTGTTTAACAACATAAATTTGTGATCAAATGTTTTTGGCGATGTCGTGTGGAGGAGCTTTGTTCTACTCAGAGAATTTGGCTTTAGCTCATAGGATTTTGAGGAAGTTTTCTTTGGAAGTGTTTAAGATATTGTGTGGAGTGGGGAAGAAAAGCAGAAATGGATTCTTTTTTTGAGATAGGCTCTGGAAAAAGTCATTGTTGCAAGTAAGCATAGTTATGAGTCAGCAGGACCCAAGCATTGAGACGGTCGCTGCAGTCTTGCTGTTACCATTCCCTTCTCCATTCCTGAGAACCTCATCCCCAGAGGGGTGTGATGTGTGCACAAGGCTGATTTATCAACACAGCTACGCAGTTACATCTTTTTTCCCATCTCCAAGCATGCTTGGATCCTGCCCTGTGAGCATTGGAGTGGGAAGCTTTTACAGAGTGTTTTGTTGGACTCCCTTATACAAAAGTGTTCCAGGAACAGAGTGTTCAAAACTCAATCCCTATGCATGCTACTGGTTTCTACCCAGAAGTCAAGTGAGGTCAATAACTAACCAAGCTGCATTATTCACTGCAGCAGCATCTCTAGGAACAGCTCAAGCTCTTTTCTTCATCCTCACATTAACATTAACCTCCTGAGGCTGGACTTTTTTGGTATCTTTTTCTCTCTTTTCTCTTGTGTTCCTCAGCAGATAATTCTCAGGTGGATGTGATTCGATGAAACAAATAATAACGAAGTAAAGTTCTTCCTGGGATGAAAGCAAAATTTAGGGAGAGGTATACCTGTGGGGAACGCTCCAGCTGTATCACAACGTGTTTCCAGAGGTACAGTGTCTCTTTCTTCCCTATGATAATTCCAGTAATGTAACACAGAATTACAATTCAAGATAAATTATAACAGTGAACTCAAAGTTCATGAAAGATTTAGGATCTATAACCAAAGACAGTGGCCTCACGTTTATCCATTAAAAACATACAGACCAGTGAAAGTTAAGAAAATCCACTTATAACAGTGAACTCAAAGTTCATGAAAGATTTAGGATCTATAACCAAAGACAGTGGCCTCACGTTTATCCATTAAAAACATACAGACCAGTGAAAGTTAAGAAAATCCACTAGTGTGCGTCTCCTGGACTGCAAGATAAAACTAGGCAAAATAATTGTTCTTTGTATCATTTATGCCTTCTATGCTAATTATCTTACCCATGTCTCTGATGCATGTTACAAAAGTTGTTTTCTCCTCTTGTTTTCAGGTAATGATAGTTGAAGATGTCAGCTCCCTGGCAAATACGCTGCAATAAAAGATCCAGAACTAAGAAAGGAAGCGCTGAAATGGACAATATGGCAGACAGAAGTGAAAGAATGCAGATGAAAAAAAAAATCACGTTACTAAATGGAGTTTCTTTAATTGTAGGGAACATGATTGGCTCTGGGATATTTGTATCACCCATAGGTGTTTTAATGTACAGTGCTTCCTATGGACTCTCTCTCGTCATCTGGGCACTCGCTGGGATATTCTCACTGTTCGGAGCTTTGTGTTACGCTGAATTGGGAACATCCATTGTTAAATCTGGAGGTTATTATGCCTATCTTCTGGAAACATTTGGTGCTTTTGTGGCCTTCATCAGCCTGTGGTGTTACTTGCTAATTACTGAACCAACAACTCAGGCAGTGAGAGCAATCACATTTGCTAACTACATCGTTCAACCAATTTTTCCTGATTGTGAGCTGCCATATGCATTGTGAGCTGCCATATGACGCAGTCAGGTTGATTGCAGCTGCTTGTATTTGTAAGTAAAGTTACGATTCCTAAAAGTTAAGAACTGTACTATACTACTATAATTGTAGGCGCTCTTAGAGATTTTTCTCAATTTCTATTCCTTTGCCTTCTGTGAAAATAATTATTGCCTCTCTAAAACATGTTCATAGGAACTAGTAATGTTTTATTCAGATGGATTTTATTTGCGACTGTGATTTAGAGGAGAGAGAATTACAGCAGTTTGGCTGGGGAAACCCTGACTGCTGATTAAAGATACATATATCTCTATGGATCATTGGCCTAATTCACAGACCTCTTTCCCCTATTTCTTGCAAATCATAGAAGATGAACAAAAATCTAAAAATTCATATGGAATTAAAAATACTCTGCCTAATCTGAGTATTGTCTCTAGAAAAACTGGGTGGTGTAATCAGACACTCTGCAGAGTTGACTTTGGCATGACCGTATGTCTTACGTGAACACAGGGATAAGAAATGCAAATCTGTCCTTTAGTAGATGAACTGCATTCAGATTCCTTTCCTTGTAAATGTGGATTTGTCAAGATGGAGTATGCGTTCCTTTTACACTGGGCTACAGCACAATCTTTTAAAAATTACTTAAATCGTATAACTCAACAAAAACTTCCAAAAGGATAAGTAATTTTCACTTCAGATAATATAATATACACTAACTTTTGCCACTGTGGTGGCAGTTCACTTCTGAAGAAGACTCCGTGGTATAACTTGAGACCATCATGACCACTCAGCAGTCTAAAAGGCAACTAAGCCTGTTCCAAAAGACTTCATCAGCTGAAATTCTCCACTTGCACAGGAAAGCAAATTTAAAAAAAATTTATTTCCCCAGTGTTCTAGGTGCACCTCATGAAATCCTAATGCTTAAGAGAGGAAGTCTTCAAATGCTGTTGTTTCTTTAAGCCGTCACTGTCTCAGTTATTCTTGCTGCAGTTTTCATGTGAATCAGCTACTGGGTGCTTTAGTACCTCTGATTTCTGAGCTGATGCCCCAGGTGAGACTGGCAGATGCTGCTTTCTCGTATAGCAAAGCAGTTGCCTCACCACTGACTTGTAACAAGCATTTTGAGTAACAGCCCAGATTGCTGGGAAAATTATAGTTTATTCTATTGTATTAATTGTGATATGCAATTTAGCAGTGTCAGGTGGCAAATTCATTACTAGCTTGAACAATTTGCATAAGGCTCAGGAGCATGGATTTAATTGGTACTTCACCAACATAGCAGAGAAAACTTATTTAAATCTATATATTTAGTAGGATTTACTGGGAATTCCATGGCAAGATCCCACTGCCTTGAATTTAATTATTCTCTGCAGCGCATGATACGTATCATGTGTCATATACGTATGTAGTAAACATACCCTTTTTTGTTTCAAAAAGCACTTTAGAGTATCACAGGAGACTCCTAAATGTTCAGTATTAAAAACTTCAGTCACAGAATGTTAGGATCATCTAGTCTAATCCCCCTGCCTGAGCAGGACCACCTAGATTAGATCACACAAGAACGCGTCCAGGCGGGTTTTGAACATCTCCAGAGAAGGAGACTCCACAACCTCTCTGGGCAGCCTGTTCCAATGTTCTGTTACCCTTACTGAGAAGAAGTTCTTCCTCATGTTTAAGCGGAACCTCCTATGTCAGAATGTTAGGATCATCTAGTCTAATCCCCCTGCCTGAGCAGGACCACCTAGATTAGATCACACAAGAACGCGTCCAGGCGGGTTTTGAACATCTCCAGAGAAGGAGACTCCACAACCTCTCTGGGCAGCCTGTTCCAATGTTCTGTTACCCTTACTGAGAAGAAGTTCTTCCTCATGTTTAAGCGGAACCTCCTATGTTCCAGCTTATATCCATTTCCCCTTGTCCTATCATTGGATGCCAAGTCAACACTTACTTTAAAATTTTCAAGACATAGGCCTACGATTCTAAGAGATACTGTTGGCGACATGGACATTTTAAAATTTTCAAGACATAAGCCTATGATTCTAAGAGATACTGTTGGCGACATGGACAGTAGGATCAAGTGCACCCTCAGCAAGTTTGCTGACAACACCAAGCTGTGTGGTGTTGTGGACACACTGGAGGGAAGGGATGCCATCCA